GGATGGACAAATGGATGGTGGATCAATGGATGGAGACGGATGGGCGGATGAGTAGGTAGATAGATGGATGGGTGTGTGGATAGATGGATGAATGGGTGGGTGGGTGGATGGATAGTTGGATAACTGGGTGGATGGGTATGTGGATAGGTGGATGGATGGTTGGATAAATGGATAAGTGTGTGGATGGATGGGTGGATGGATGGATGGATGGGTGTGTGTGTGGATGGATGTTGGATAAATGGATGGGTGGATGATGAGTGGATGGATGGGTACATAAATGGATGAGTGGGTGGACAGGTGAATGGGTAGATGGATGGGTGGATAAATGGGTGGATGGGTGTGTGGATAGATGGTCAGATAAATGGGTGGATGGAGGGTATGTGGATGGATGGATAACTGAGCAGATAGGTGGGTGAATGGGTGGGTGTTTGGATGAACAGATGGATAAATAAGTGGACAGGTGTGTGGACACATGGTTGGATAAATGGGTGGGTGGGTGGATGGATGGACAGATGGTTGGATAAATGGGTGGGTGGGTGGATGGATGGATGGACAGATGGTTGGATAAATGGGTGGGTGGGTGGATGGATGGATGGATGGTTAGATAAATGGGTGGGTGGGTAGGTGGATGTATGGATGGGTGGATGGTTAGATAAATGGGTGGGTGGGTGGATGGATGTATGGATGGGTAGATGGCTGGTTGGATAAATGGATGGATAGGTGGGTGGATAAAAAATTTGTAAGCTCTGGTCAGCTTAGTGAAAGAAGATCACTATTGTTACCATATTGTTCCACTTTGTAACTTAAACTGCAAGACAGAGGTGTGCTCCCCCTGAAAAGAAACAAAATATCCTCCCCAGTGCCAAGGAGCAGGCTGTTTCCATTTCCCCAGCTCTACCCGACATCCCGGGGCCCCAGTGCCAAGGAGCAGGCTGTTTCCATTTCCCCAGCTCTACCCGACATCCCGGGGGTGTGACCCGGACAGTCAGGGTGTGTACACACCCCCGGGCTTGGACACCTGCTGAGCCTGGCAGGAGCTCTCTGTCTTCCCGAACCAAGTGTGTCACTAACACAAAAGTCACGACTGCTTCTAAGCGTCCAACCAGACGGCTGATTTGGTGGCATTCCGGCCGCCGTGCCTTGCAGTGGGTACAAATGACTAACCCACTTTCCAGACGACAGGGAGTTGGAGGCGGAGCGACTTGCCCACGACCACAGGCGGTCACAGGTGGAGGTGGTGTCAGCCCAGGGCTCCAGGCACTGAGTCCCGACTGTAAGCTTCAGCCCTGGGGCTCAAGTCCACCGGAGCTAATGACATAGCGAGTTTTTCTTTTCCTGGACAGGACGAATCACCACTAGAGGCACGCAGGGGAGGAGTGTTCAGAGCCATTGCTAGGTGGTCTCTGAGCAGTGACTTCCCCTGTGGAAAGGCCATCCGGGGTGCTCCTTCTGGAGTGCATCGATGAACTGCTCAGGTCAAAAAACCGAAACATACTTGTGACTTCAAGTATTCTGGAATTCTTTCCGTGATTAAGCCGTCCCGTCCCCAGTGGGTTTGAATTCAGCTTTGCTGTGAGTGGTAAGGCCTGAGCCTCCATCTCCCACTGCGTCCTTACCCAGTTTCACATTAAGCCCAAGGGCGTCACACTGCCAGGCAGTCGTGGCTTGGCTCAGGGCCTGCAGGAATCCACGTCTCTGATCCCTTACAGTCACGCAGTCTCAGAGGCTTGCTGGGTTTTTTTGGTTTTTTTTTTTGAGACAGGGTCTCGCTCTGTCGCCCAGGCTGGAGTGCGGTGGTGTGATCACAGCTCACTGCGGCCTTGACCTCCTGGGCTCAAGTAATTCTCCCACCCCAGCCTCCAGAACAGCTGGGACCACCGGTGTGTGCCACCATACCCAGGTAATTTTTGTAGAGAGGGGGTCTTGCTACGTTGGCCAGGCTGGTCTTAAACTCCTAGGCTCAAGCAATCCTCCAGCCTCAGCCTCCCGAAGTGCTGGGGTGACAGGCGTGAGCCACCGTGCCCAGCCTGGGACTCACTTTCTCTAATGTAGTGGAGAATTTGGTGAGACTAGAACAGCACACACACAGTCCCTGATGCCGG